GGAGCCTGCCCGGCGCTGAGCCGCGGACACGAACGTTGTTTTTCGGGGGTCCCCCGCGTTGCTCGCCCCCCGCCAAAAGGCCCTGTTCGTACACCTCCCTGAACCGCCGAGGCCTATCCCGCCGCCTCCCCGCCGTGTGGGGCGGCCCCCGCCGCTTCTCCAAGTTCACGGCCGACCCGAGTCGCCCACGCCCCCGTCACAATCGAGTCCGGCAGGGTAGTTCTGTCCTCGAGAAGGAAAGCGGCGTCATTTGGCAGCATCGTCACCAGTAAGCCCATTCCCGAGACCCGCCAGGCCCCTGGGCTCTCGGGGCTGAGGGGCGCAGCACGAGCCCCCGCGGAGCTCCAGCCCCAGGCCGCCCCGCACGAAGCGCTGACGCGAACCGGAAGGGCGCCTTACCCTGTCAAGGGCTTCCAGACCGAAGCGGCGCGTTAGGCAAGCTTCCGACCCCGAGCCGCCATCAGCCGCCGAACCTCTTCCGCCACCACCGCCTCCCCTCTCCGGCCGGCTACGCCTCCCCTCGGAGCAGAGCCGGCACCACGTCACTTCCGCCCACGGGCGGCCCTTCCGCCCGGCGTGGGTTCGGCCCGCCCCCTTCCCGGCGGGCGGGGCTCCCGACGCCGAGTGGGTCCCGTCCGGCTTTTCCCTCTGTCTGGCTGCTCCTGGAGCGGGGAGCAGGGACAGTTGAGAAAGAACCCCCCGTGGTGGGTGGTCACGCGGCAGTCTCTTCCCCGTGCTCCTCTCTGGATTTGGGGCACGCCGGCACAAACAGCCAGTGTGTTTCTCAAGCCCTGCACCTCCGATCACCTCGGCCTAGCCGTTTGCGCTCAGCCGCCTAACCACAACGAAATAGGATCCGTTTGCATTTCGTTTTAATTTGATAGTCATTATTCTGACATACGAAGTGGGGAAACAACGTAACAGCGAGGTGGAAAGGGGTGTTTGGAGCTGCTGGATCTTACCTATCTTGTAGACGAGCATATGAGAACCAGAGAAGGGAAAGCAGCGGCCACACGACTGGGGCTGCAACCCCTAAATGCCAAGGCTTCCCCCAGCTCCAAATCGGCCTTGGGCTTTTTTTAAGCACAAAGTTTTGATCACTGTAAAAACCTGTTTCTCCTAGGACCGTTTCATTTCTAACGCTCTCCGGTTCAGTTTGCTGTCGCTCTGGCAGTGTGTTCTTGTTGCCCGCGTTTCTATGAGTTAACTCATTTTGTTTTCTATTATTTTTTCTGTTATCATTTCTGCGTGAATTTTTCCCTGTCAAATATTTGTCAAATTATAACTTCTAAAATCATTTCTATTATAAGTCTTACCCTCTCATATTAGCCATTCAGTTTGACTCCTAACCTCCCAAAAAGCATGTGTGCTCTGTTGGTAATCCATCCTCTTCCCCTGTTGCCATAAAACTCTAATAAAATTTGCAATATCACCAGTGAAGAAAGGACAATAAATTAGATATCATTAAACGTTGAAGCAGCTTCTTAGTGCAGAACACACAAAATCTTTTTTCATACACTTTTATCTTTATTTCCATGTATTTAAAAGCACATTAGCTTCTCTAATATTTGATCAATATTTGATTCCCTGCATATTGAAACCTTTGAGCTTCTGTGGTTGGTTGTGCTTGATCACGGAATTTCAGAACCTTTCAGGTTTAGTGCCAACATTTTTATTTTGCAGTGAAGAAGATGTGATAGTCGACATAAGGATTCACTAGCTTTACTGGTAGAGCCCTCTAGTATTAGAAATAACTGTGTCCCTTCCTTTTTTTTTAATTTGTCAAAAGGCAGTGCTGGCCGGAGTATATATGTGGAGATGGGAGCAGGGAAAGTGAGAAAGTACCCCCCCATGGGGGATGGTCACCCTGCAGTCCTCCATTCTCACAGGCACAAACACCTAATGTGTTTTTCAAGCCCTGAAACTCCAATCACCTCATCAGCCATGTGGGATCCAGTTCCCTTAACCAGCAGCCACTAGCTGGCCCAACAGTCAAACTGCATTGATCTACTTACTATCTACAGGGTGTGTGTGCTTTCCAGGAGAGACAGACAGACAGAGAAAATGAGAAGTGAGGGAAATGACCATACTACAGGATTCAGGAGTTCGGTGGCCCTCTCAACCTCCCTCTATAGGCTCCAGCTGCCTTCATACCGCTGGCAGGCCCAGCAGTGAACTTTATCAACACAACTTTTCAGTGTCACACTTAATTTTCTAATCACATTATTTATTTACATGTAATAAGTTTCTAATTACTAATGTTCAGTTAGAAATAAGAAAAGCAATATATTTAATAAAATCATAACAGAAGCATTTTCTGTAGGTATTTTTATTTTATTTTTTAATAATTTCTAGAATTTTTAGACCTCATATTCCCCAGGAAGATATTTGTTGCAGTTTTTTTTTTTTTCCAGGTTTATGCAATAAGGCATATGTGCTCACTGGAGAGAGACAGAGAGGAACGGTGACAGGGAAAGTGAGAAATCACCTCCCTAGGGGGGAGGGGATGATCATGCTGCAATCCCTTCTCCATTTGCCTCATGAGATTTTGAGTACACACAGACATGCACCCAGTGTGATTTTCAATCTGCCAGGTCTGAGACTTGAACCACAGTCAGCCATATAGGGAATCCGACATCCTAACCACCATCCCACCAACTGGCCCCTTTGTTTCAGAATTTAACTTGCTTTATTCTTTCTAATGATGATCCCTTGACTTTTTAGGCCATGTTTCTCCCAACAAGGTAAATCTATATCCTCTCAGTATTTAATTAAGTTTTTTTTTAATTAGGCTATTATAGGGGCAGGAAGATGGCATGGTAGTTGAGGCACTCTACTCCCACATGGCTGACCGCAGTTCAAGTCTTAGACCTGGCAGCTTTCTCTCTCTATCTGTCCTTTTTTGGTCAAACTGAATAACTATAACAAACAAATTGAATAATAATAACAACAAACAAAGTTGAGTAAATAACTATTTTTAAAAATTAGGCTTTTATTGGGACCAGCAGTTGGTGTAATGGCTATATCGCTGGACTTTCATGTAGTCGATCACAGTTTGAGTCCCAGACCCAGTGGCTTAAACTTACACCAGGCATGTGTGCATTCATGCCCCAGATCCCTAGAGGGGAATGGAAGAGAACAGATTATGGCGTGGCCATCCCCCCTAGG